GTGTACTCATTGGCCGCTATTACATCGAACTTCTCCAGAAGCGGGCTTATATCTGCTACCTGGCTGACGAAAATTGGGGGTGGTCTTGGGGCCTTGGGTCCAGTTGTTGTTTGAGCATCGTCAGGGGTATCTTGTTTGTCCTCTGAAGGATCTTGTTCTACCGCTGCGAAGGCGTTTTTGGTTGGTACGGGATTCAACCAGGAGTCCTTTAGAAGAAGCTGTCTTCTTTTATATGGAGCGAATCATGATAGATACCCCAGCGGTGTGCGCGAGTGCGCAAAACAGCCAAATCACGCAGTTTTTGAATCGCTGTACGGACTTCATATTCTATCTAAAAAAAATCACGGGTAAGTGATTTCGATGTTTTTTTTGCTCAGCTTTCTAGTGATGAGGTCAAAAGTGTAAAAATCAGCCTCCATAACCTCAAAAAATGGACTTGAACTTAAAACACGTTGTATCTTTTTTGGCGCCAGGTTTAGTTTTTCTGAGGGTCTAGATCGAAAGATCTCGCGATTTTTCATAAGAAATGACTCTAAAAAAAAGGAATTTTTTCGATTTTCTCGAGGGGTGAAGAGGGAAAGAGCGCGCGGTCGGCCGTTTTCGAGCGCCGCGGCCTGTTTTTGCGCTACGCTTTACGTTTCCTTATTTATAACGCGTTAGGCTTTCGCCATAAAAATAAACAAATACATGTTTTTTATGTATTTTTGCCTCATCTTTCCAATGGTGCAATTAGTTTTTGGAAAAATTGCTTCGTTTCGCGAATAAAATGAAAATAATGAAACTGTTAATCAAAAAAGTTAATTTATCTGTTCAAAAAAGCCAAAATAAAAATATTGATTTTTGTATAACATGCTCGGACACCAGAAGTACAACGTCAATACTTTTTCGTTTTATTTGGTTTATTTTATTTGTTTATTTTTTTAATATTTTACTTTTCGATGCGACTTTAATTACACATCTTGCAGCGCTTCTTTTTTTTCTATTGTAAATTGATTTACTTGAATTTTTTAAATCGAATTACTCGAATTTTGTTTTGATGTAATTACTCGAATTTTAGATAGAATTACTTGAATTTTTTAATGTTAAATTCTATTTTTAACTTTCATAAAGACGTTACATATCTTACGGATGTTCTTATACAGCTGATTTTGTTTTCTATGTAATTTTAATCAATTTTAATAAAACTGATTTTTCGATTTATTCTTTGGTCAATACTTTCCGATTAATTGTGATTTCGTTTAATGAGTGCCGAGGCCGCTTGCGCGCTCTCTACTTACATTAGTTCCGTTTCAAAACGAATTCAAGTTTAATTCAAATTTTTGATTTAGTTTTAATAATTTTGAGCTGGTTTGTTTGGGGTTGCCGAGGCCGCGGAGCGGCCTCGACATATTACCGTCCTTCGACAACAAATTTGTAGTTATATTTACGTAAATTTATAAAAATTAGTATACCAGAACACTACGATTTATGTTTTACGATTGTAGACATGTGCGCGAAACTATACAATAAAATAACTCGGGTTATTATACCAATCAACACGCATGAAAACGCAACGCGCGAGCCAGAGACAGAGATGCAGAGATACACCACGCTACATTGTACATTTCATAGACATGAGCGCTGACTGCCGAGTACTGCTAGCCCGTGTTGTGCGTGTCGCAGCAGAAGCGAGCAAGCTGTCACTCGACACTGCCTAGCGTCGACCAATCACAGCACGAGAAACAAACAAACGCTACTGAGACTAAAAACCTACGATTATCGCGCTCGCTCTCTCGCTAGCTCGTTTTTCACGGATTCACTAGCCTACCCAACGAGCCATAAGACGTTACACATCAAAAACTCGTTGGGGTACATTCAAATTATTATTCCTTATAAATGGTTTCATAAGGTATGTCTTAAGTGGAAAGATGCCATCTACTATAAAAAATGTGAGCTCATGAACATGAAGCGAGGTAGATGTGTGGCTGGTGGTAGTTGAACTTGATTTTCAATGAGGGCACTACCCAAGCCACTATGGGCAAAGGCACTTGCATCATTAACGCTTTCTGAAATATAGAACATAAAAACGTAATTCTTAATTTGTATGAATACTGATTAACTTCTACTAAATAATACATGCCATAGTTTCCAATGTTAGCCCAAATAAATCGCTTATCTGAATCACAAATTGCCATTAGAATGATGCTGAAAAACTTTTTGTAGTTGTAAAATAGACTCCCACTATTTTCTTAATTGGGCAGTGCCTTCCATCGACAGCTCCCAAACGATTAGGCATATCTAAGTCCATACAAAATTTTGTACTAATTGATTCAAATTGGGCAGCAGTTGGTATTCTTAAAAATAGTGGGCCAAGCTCTTCACCAAGCTCTTCACAAATGATTTGACACACTTCTGGAATAATAGCTTTAACAGTACTTGAACCAATGTTATAAAATATGCCCAGAGTTTTCAGACTATTCGCATGGGCTGAATATCTAGGATTAAATAAAAAACATTATGAATAAAATTACCCTATCACGAGCTTTCAACTTTGACCAGAGTTTTATAAATACCTCAATGTTAATGAATATCTCAACTCCAGAGGTAATGGGGGTCGTTTACTCATCTTTGTTAAACGTAATCGAATAATTTCGTATGTGTACTGAAATGTTTGTACATTCATTCGCGTAAAACTAATGAATTCTTCCTCGTCGTTAAATTTAAAATAATGATACACTAATTGGATAGCTCCTTAACTGGTTAAGTAATTAGATCAAAAAGTGGCTTAGACCACCATCGTCGAAAATTTCTAATCATTTTCTGGTGCAGTTCGATCAATTCTATGAAATTAATACCTAATTCGGCTATAATTTAATTCCTTTCCATTTTTTATTTAGTTATGACCCAAATATTAATAAAATTCGGAGTAGAATTTAACATTTATCACCAGCGAATTGCAATTGTAACTCATAATTTCAAAATATAAACACAACTGACCCCTGTCAGTGTACTCTATGTCAGGGTTAGGTGACGCTAGTTAAACAGGTCTGTTTGTAAGGTTCAAAAACTCATTTTGAACCAATGCATGAGCCATACGTCGTTAAGAGAGTAACAAGCTTGCAAGTTAGATCTACTTATCTACACGTGAACTATCTTCAACAGTACAGCTGTATATACGATTGTAGACGCAGAATTACAGAGTTCTACTATTTTTTGAAATCGCGTAATCATACATTTTTTAACATCAACGCACGCGAGCATATACACACACATGTAAACATATCAATTGAAAAAATCGATGATGACGACGTTAAGCTTTTCTCAACTCTGTGACATTAATGATAGATCAGCTTTCATGTATACGGATCCTGCGTGTGCGTATACACGTGATACGCGAGTATAATGCAAACTTGCGTCGAGGCTTATTTATCTACAAGCTTGAGGCGAAATCAAGAAATGGTTCTGATATATATCTTGAATAGTTACGTATATACAGACAAGGGGGTAGCAGTGAATCAAGTACGCAAGCTCGTATGAAAGTTAGTGTTGATATTAACTCTTGAGACTTTGGAGGTATATTGTCGATCATTGTTTTGAGGTAAACCCAATGAGGATGCTGTCAAATTTCTAGTTCCATCTCTTTCTCTCAAATTTCGCCAGTAGTAATTAATGACGTTGATTCAGCCTTTCGATGAAGTATTATAATCTCGCAAATTTACGTAAACGTGTAATAAAACAAAGTAAGTAAACTAAGTTGTTTCAAGATGTTATTTATAAAAAATTTGATTGTTGTTAATAGAAATATGAATATTTGAACAAAAAATAGGAAAAAACATGTGAGCTGCTGTATAGATTTCTATGTACTTGTAATGCGAGCAAACAATTAACTCTTACAGTAATATCGACTCAATTAGCCACTTATGGAAAATTGTTTAATTTCTGAAAGGAAACTAGAAGTGATTGTCTTTACATAACTTTGAATTAAATGTTGAACGTTGAATGTTGAAACAAAATTTTATCATATATGGCAGTTGCCAAACTAAAGTCAGCGAGTTAAAACTTTCTTGCCACTGCATTAGAACAAGGTACTGTTTTGGTGCCGCGCTCGAATAAGCTACTTTTTTACCTCTGCGCGCAAGTAAGTATACCCTTCATGCTGCAGAATTGAACGCGATACCTTCCTGCGCTGGGGAGACGATCTGATATTACTATTAGGTGGCAGAAAAATTTTTTTTTGCTAAATATTGTGTATCCTCTCGGTCTAGCAGTCGTGGCACATTGACCTTTTTTATTTTTCTATTAACAATATAAAGGAAAAGCGCACTGGTTTGAGTCTTGAGTATTTCAGCAGTACCACGCTCGTTTAGAGCTAAGAGTTTCATGGCTTCACTTACATATGTATTTAATACAACTTTTTGTCAGCACTTTACCCGCCGCGCGTGAAGCACACTTCAGGAAGTTTTTCGCTTGATAGAGTGAGCTTCATTCTCCACTGAACCAAACTCATCCATTTAAAATAAAAGCGAAAAAAAATAAATAAATGAGAGAACTAGGACATTAACATTTTAATTTTTTTTTCGATAATTTGAAAGTGCTGTTGAGACTGTAACAATAATTACGTTGTTTGGTGTTCAACTATTAACCCACTTTAGTATGAGAAAATTATCCATAAACAGCGAAAATTGAGTCTGCAAAGAAATAAGCACATCGAAAAGTGTACCACTTTTATACGCACATTTTCATTCGATATACATAGTATTTAGTATGAGGCTGGGAAGCGCTAACAACGAGTTCATTCGATCACATGGGAGTCTCGTTGAGACGCTCGCGCGGCTATGAATGAATGGAAAGCTCGGCGCGTAGTTCGCAGTAGTTAGAGCCCACAGCGCGCAAACGCGGCCAAGTCGAAAGGGGGTTGGCTTGTGTGCACAGTTCAACCCGCGCGGCTTCTGCGCTACTGCTTACAAAGCTCCAGTATCGTTCCGCGCTGCGCGTCGAGCTAACGCCTCGTACGCCTCCTCTCGTCGTCCGGTTATAGATATACACATTTATACGTATTTTTGAAACTCTCAGACCAATAGATAAACACGCGCGTAGCACTGCAGCTCTATGTTCGGTTTAAAATGTGTATTAAATGGGTATAATTACTTATTCGTCAAGTTGAGGTTTTACATCAACTATGTGTATGCTTGTATTTTTCTCATGGTATTCAGTGGCCGTGCACAACGGAAGGCGATTATAATACATAAACTGCTGTTTTTGAGTTTTTTCAAAGCATTCTGAGACATATTTACGACTCGTGTGCCCCAAAAAGTGCGTCTATGTTTATTTGTGTCTGTGCTTTTTTTAATAAAAAATTACGCTTCGAAAAATCTTCGTTTTATTTTCGCACGCACGCACTCACACGTACATCCACATGGATGCTGAATGAAGAATTTACACGTACATAAATAAACAGGGTGTCTGCAAGTGTAGTGCAGCAGTGGTGAGACTCAATGAATGAGAAACCCAGTGACCTGTGTGCGAATGCGAAGTAGCGAGTGAGAACGAGAAAGAGAGCAGAAGAAAAAGGAAAAAGAAAGAGAAGAAGAAAAATACACCGAGTGTACCGCCCTTTTTCCTTCCTTCTTGCTTCTCGCGATCTCCCTCAGTCATAAAAGTACAAAAGAAAAATCAAACTTGGTGTGGAGCTACGGGCAAGTAGGCCATTGTGGCCACCACCACCGGTACGACGTGTATTAAGCTATATATTAAAATGCCATGTAGCTAACCGCCAGAGCAATAATCGGCACTTTGTGCGCAGTCGTTAAGTAACGAAAGAGCAACTTCTTACGACTGAGACGTAAAGAGGCAGGAGAGCAGTGGTAGAAAGTAGTTGGGCCAGTGAACTTCGATACACATACAAGTTTGGAAGCACTTTACGGGAAGAGAGAGAGAGAAAGAGTGTGAGCCCCGAGAGTTCGGTTCAAATGAAGTGTGTACGAGAAAATTGAAAACGCACAGAATCGTCGATAAAGAAAGGCAAAGAAAGAAGTGCGCGGGGCGGCGGGCACGCAGGTGTGTAATGTATCGTGAGAAGCATAAAGTACCGGGTCGCTACCGTTGCCGCAGTAGCTGCATCGCCGCCAACTGCATTTCTTTGAACTGTGCACCGACCTTATACAGTGATTGCAGTTCGAGTTTTATTTTTCAATCCATAATCTTAGTGCTATTGTAGATACATAGTTCGTCGTTGTCTAGGTGGCATATTTACATATATATATTCACGTTACGGGGGCGTATCCATGTGCAAAGTATCATATTATTATTAGTTATATGTGTGTGCGTATAATCATAACAGCTGTTAAACGCGATATTGTTATTTAAGCCGAGAGAAAAGCAGAAGATCCGCGGCAGCGAGCAGGGATTGTTTTGACAAGTTTCATCTCTCTATATATATATTTCAGTGTGTATAAGTACCAGTGTGAGTGAGTGAGAAAGAGAAACAATGCTGCTCATCGTCCAATTGTTCGTCGCACTGCTGGCAGTACTCGATAACAGCTCGGCTGCCCAAGGTAATTCTTTTTCACTCTTTTTCTCCTTTTAGTTTTATCTGGAAGTCTTTTCTTTACGCATGTTTGTATGTGCACACACATAAATTTGCTAACGCATGATTTGGAAGCTCGTTCTTTGACTCCTCAGCGACGTTCAAGGCCTTTTTTTCATATTAAACTTTAGTTGCACTTCTGTATTATTGACATCTAACGATAATTAAACATCGTTCGAGAAGTACGAAATTTATTACGCTTCGTAACTTTGTTAATCAAAGCTTTTTTTTTACCTGGCACACATTAAGTTTTGACGAAAAACTTTCAGAGCTCGGAAAAAAAGAGAGAGAGAGAGAAAAAGTTCGTAGCTGTCGTCACGCGTGCACGAAAGCTGGAGACGTGGACTGGTGATGGGGCAGTGCAGCTCTCAAAAACTCGCTGCAAAAGCCGCAAAATATATTCCAAGCACACGCGAGCGCAAGCGTGGTGATCTTTCTTCAGACTACCAAAAAATTTATAATCGTTTTATAATCGTAGAATAAAAGTTTGATGCGCAGCGCAGAGCGTGGAGAGTATTAGCTCGTTGCGGAACGGGCAAATGAATTTTTCACGACAAGATTTCGGCGTCTGGGTACACATACTTTATTCGTGCTTCTGTTTTATACGTTTCACCATGAAAATTAGATCGACTTGGATTAACGTAAATTTTTAGGCGCTTTAGAGCGAGTAAAAGAGATTGGACCTTGTTAGACGTCAATTGTAACCATAAGTAGTAACAATTTTCCCCCACAATCATCATTCAACTTTGATACATGTGTCAGTTCTTGATCTTCTCGTCGACTTAATTTACATCGGAATAATAACACCCGCAAAAAAGGCTTTACAGCGTCGAATATATTCTCGCGATAATATTAACGGCGCTGCTTACACGATCTACCTTCTAAAATGCCAATAAACATATGTTGGCGAGTCGAAAGACGAGTTTCTCTTTTGCATAATACGATCGAAACTTGCTCTCTCTCTTTCCCGAGATATGGGTATATGGGTAAGAATTTGCCACATAGCGCACGTAGCGGCGAGTATGTGCAGCGCTCACAATGCTTTAGAGGCCGTATAACAACAGCACTTAATAACAGCAACTTGGCGTACTTTACATACTAACCTAATTTTCGAGCCCTCGCTGCTGCCAACGACGACGTCTCAGCAGGCGCACCATGGCCGGTAGGATACGCGTCCGCAGAAGTTTGCGCTTATACTTACTACGGCCGAGGCAAGAGGGCAATATGTTTCCACGGAGATTCACTTGAGAAAATCAAGTTTACCAGTTTAGTAGTATATACGCTGAATCGTGTAACGCAGCTACTCCAATGTAGTACGTATAAAGGCGCTGTAACGTGTGTTACAACCGAAACCTTGGAACAAATACAGCAAACGCTCCCACGAAAATCGGTTTGCTCGCAGAAGCGTGCCAGGATGATCAAGAGATTGAACACAAGGATACAAATTTTTCATAGGGTTGAAATGAATCCTTAGCATTCTGCAGGCTCTACGTATACACGCATTGCACGCGTTACCGGGGGAGGAAAGCGATCGAGAGCACGCTCATTGTCATTTTGATCACGTTTTCTATCACTTCCTAGGACTCGGAGCGGCGCGCCATAACGAATGCAATTTATCGCCATTTTTGTATGCAGGCGCGCTCGTTCACCGACTATATGTACATGTACTAAGGCTGCTGCCCCTGTGTGTGTGAGTATTTGTGCACTGCTCGCCCGTATATACAGTGTGGTATAGACGCGTTGCCTGTCGCGGGTACACGCTATATTGTACATGCTATCGGGTATACAGCGAGATTTGCTTGTTTGCGTATACATAACGACGAGAGCACAGCTGACGCGTCTCTTGTGGACTTTTATATGTGTATCGTTCAACGATACATAGATAATATGTACAATTGTGAGCCTTTAAACTTGATTGATAACAGATCTTTTCTGAAACTTTTCGGTGCATCGGGTATGGGCGGTAAGCTTGCCAAAAATGTCTGAGTACAAAAATCATCATCTCATTATCTTCCACGAGAAAAAGAATTATTAAAGACACTTTTTCTTAGCTGTTTACAAATAATCAAGAAAAAAATTTCATTTTGTTTTCTTTGGTAAATCCACGCACTGCTGCGCATGAAAAATGAGGTAATTGCTCTTGTCATCCGACAAATGGAAATCACAATGAGTCTCTTGAAATTAATTACCCTAAACAATTACGAATAACATTTTTCTTTGTTGTTTGATCTTTGTTGAAATTTTTATAAAAAACATTATACCTATTATTGAAAACTCTCAGGAAAATATCAGCGAGCTATAAGTAGCACGTGTACTTTACATACAACAACATATCTAGAATAAACTGCTACCTAAAATCAAGGCTTACTTAAATGTGTCATTAGTTCCTGATAAATACATTCAAGTTTTTTCATTCCCAAGCAAGTCTACATTTTAATACTTTTTACGATCGCTTTCTACAATATTATCTTATACATTGTTAAAGTTACGTTAAAGTCATACTGCTACTCTGCTTTTGCTGTTGGCAAAACATTTTGGCTTGCAACGCAGCCGCTGCTACTGCGCTGCAGCACCTCGCTGAAAATTGATGGTATGCGCTGCTATAGCATCCATCTCGACCGCACAAGAAGCAAAAGTATACGCAATTTCGTTCAGAGAGAAACTTTTGATTATCTTTATAATCGCAAAAGAGGGGCTGCTGCTCGGTAAATGCTTTATTTTCATGTGTTTTTCTTTTTCGTTTTTTTTCTTACCACCACAAGTTTTTCGGATTCACCGCATCTACAGTAGTGAAAATGCAATTAAGACGATATATTCGCCAGCAGCCGTTTTTACGAGTACATAGTTCCAAGATAGCTCAGACCAGTATACATGCCCAAGTGGGGAGATATTTCTCACAGTACAGAATCGTAAGAGTAGATAACGATGTATCATTAGCGAGCGCCTCGCGTAATCAATATATCGCTACCACGACTACACGTACATAGTATTAAAGCTCACACCCGAATGCATCCAAGAGACTATATATACATATGCATAACGTTTGTATTTATGAACGCACTCTACCACTCGAGCGCATACACCATAGCTCCGATAGTAATAATTCATTATATGAATGCGGCGCTCACAGGAAAGGGGGGGGGGGGGTGGCAAAGTGCACGTATTGTATCTCGAAGAGTTGCTTGAGAATGCAAACCTGCATACAGGCATACATCGAAAGTGAGCCAAAGCAAAAGGACCTTGGTAGAAAATATCATCCTCTTTGCCGATCTAAATATACAAATAAGGTAAGCTTCTCTCAGATGAGGCAGATAAGTATCGCACGAAGCAGCAACACCTTAAAACCTCCTGTGTGCGTTCGTACTATCCTTGAGCAGTGGCAAGACGAGGTGGAGTGCAGCAAACGATTATAATTAAAGCACTCCATTAGCTACGTCCAGCCTGTCGGACCCTTATTTTCGTGCCCCTCTCACAAAACCATAAACCATTTTCTCGTCGTTCTAGCAGTGCTGCTACCTCCTTCTCTCCTTACCCCTTGCTATATACCAAATTCAGCACTCACACGACCCTGCCTCTCTCTTTTCCTCTCTCACGTTGAAAGTCGTAAATCGACGATTTATACCTTGGAGGTCATGTCGATGTACGTGTACGCGATGCATGTGTAGGTATAGCCGCAGGCCTGGTTCGAGCTTTTAAGACGTTTTATGAATTCATCATTGACACTAACACGGGTGTTAATACGAGGCCGTAAAACGAGCGATTATTAGAATCGTGAAGAGGTCGGCGGCGCAGCGTTGGTGGCTTGGTGTAGAGCTTAATATAATATATGGTATATACGTAGGTATGAATAAACGACATCGCTTGAATCTAGGATTTTAGTCGGAATAAACTGCTCTAGTTACTCGGCCACTCGGACCTAAAGCTCTTCGTAGCTATGCAGAGCAATTAGTTATCGTGGGCTATCGTGGAAAGAGCAGAGAGAGCAAGAGAGAAGAGAAAAAGTAACCCTTGAGAGAGAAAGAGAGAGAGAGAGAGAGAGAGGAGAACGAAAAAAACAGAAGGGCAAGAAAATAAAGAGATGGAAAAACTCGCTTCGGGGTTTTCTCTCTCCTTTTTCCCTCTTACTCTCTGCATTCGTATATAGTCTTATATAGAGTGAGAGGAAAGCTGTAGAAAGATGTATGGAAAGCGATAGAGTCGTGAGCGCGCGGCAACGAATAATGAACTGAGAATTAGACGCGTTGAGCTGCGCTATTATCAGCCCCAGCTAACTTATATATAGTTATACATATAAACTAGCCGCGCCTCATACAAACACAACTCAATCGCTTGTGGACCAAGATTTTTCGAGGTTTTTTTCATTAAAATCCCAAGCGTGTGAGGCTGTATATTATACTTACAGTAATATGAGTGTTTTCCAGCTCCATCAATTATGCCCCCCACCCCCTACTCCCGATATTTATTCAAAACATAGATCTATCGCTTACATGACAGGTTTGAAAATTTTGAAGAGCTTTCAATATGATAAATATACTTTTTTTATTTTGCAATCAGAATGAAAAAAATCCTCGGCTTCATATCTATTTGAAATTATGTACGGTAATGTTTCAGCTGCGCAAACTAGACGGAATCTATTACGAATTGCTACGTATCGATGCGTGCTGATTAATGTGCATATATCATTGTATATAAACCACGAGCGCATTAGTATATAGCTATTATTTCACATAATATATTGTACTTACGAATGGGCAGCATTTATAAACAATGGCAGCTATAGGTGCTCGTTATAGTGTAATCCAATTATTGAGAATCAAATTACACTCTCGTTATGTGTAAATGTTGCACGTGCAAAAATGTAACAAGCGTAATTTATTAAACTGATCTATAAAAATATTTTTTAACCCGTTGACGCTCAATAATAACTATATATGAACGCCTGCATCGATGCTCGAAAGGAAATTGCTC